GCAGAGACTGAAAAGCGTAAGGAAATCAGGGGCTACAGTTTCAAACTGAGTGCTGGAGTTGGATTCGCGCCTTTCACGATAGGTCTCAGCCTGATAAGCAGTGGCGTCTATGCCCGCATACGACTCATAGAGTATGTTGCTTTTAAGCAGTTGGCCCTCATTTGAGCTGAGATGAATAAGCGCGGGCTTGAATCCAATCCAGAGACGACTTCAGACTTCGTGACACCCATGGTTGGAAGATTGAGTGTGGGGACACAGACAGAACTGAAATCCTCGGCGATTCCTCGGTGGCGGTGCAACCGGTGCTGGGATGTCGGCAGCAATCTGAAGACTGAAGGTAGCCTCCTCTTTTTTGTAAGCCTCCTCTTCGGTTGCCCTGTTGGTAAAAAAAAGGGCTGCATGGATGGCAGTCGTGCTGGATGGGAGCCAAGTGTGCGAGAATTGCCGGTGTGTGAAAAGACCTGCAGCCTGCAGGCAATTATTGCCTGTAAGCTGAGCTGGACGATGCTTCCTGATACCAGCCAGGAGTAATGTCGAGGTCCCGGCCGGCGTTCATGATTTCGAAATGGAGTTTGAAGTTTAAGTGGAAAAGAATTGCCATGCCTGTGGTCTTTTTTTTTTTTTTGCTGTGTGTGTGTGTGTGTGTGTGTGTGTGTGTGTGTGAGGACGCTACGGCCATGCAGGGGTGGGCACTAGTACAGTGGTATAACTGTGGTGGTTAAGAAACTTGGCTCTTGTTGCTGAGGACTCCAGTGCGATACTGTGCGGCCACGGATGAGGTCCGAGGCTGAGAAAGTACCTGACTGACTCCTTTTCTGGGGTTTGACTATCTGCCAATGACTGTCTTAAGTACCGACTCACTCCGCTCTCTGTTGGGACTTTCAGCCAATTTGAAACACGACCAATTAAGGTGCATTGTCACTCTGCCGTTGCACACGTGCTAACACACTAATACTTTCTGTCTATACTTGTAATGAGTACTAATGACTTTCATTACTTTCAGTCCCCATTCAATTATTCTCCCTCGAATTGGAGGGTCCCGTTGCTCCAGTCGATTGGTGGGGAGCGGCACGTGCCGGAAATCTGCTTCCGCATCCATCGAGTTATAGCTGGACCCGTTTTCCAGAAGGTGCAGCTCCCCACCAATAGAAAGGAGCCACCGTAGGGGCATGGTACCTGATGATGCTCGTATCATCTCACGTAACAATCCCAGAGGATGTTAAAAAAAAAAAAAAAAAAAAAAAAAAAAAAAAAAGAAGAAGTTATCTTTCTGCTGGTCTTGAGATGGCAGGAATCCTCCTGTCTCCAAGGACTCGGAAGCTTTCCAAACGCTTCTTCTGGTTGAGAAAAAAAAGAGAAAAGAGCAGTTGAAGGATTTGGGTGGGAGATGAGTGTATCCCCGTCATGTTTTCTTGGGATAACCTCACAAAAGTGCCGTTTCAGGTAAAGTCTATCAGAGAAAGCCGTCGGTTGCAGAAAAGTGCGGCCCCCCCTACTGCAATTACACAGCCGGAATTTTTTTTATTTTTTATTTTTAATTATTATTTTGTTTTTTGGACCATTTCTCTATTTATGCGTGTCATCCTTGCGCAGGGGCCATATGCTAATAACCCTTCTCTGTATCGTTCAAATTTTAACGGATGTCCCGAAGGACAACACAGCCGGATTTCAAGCAACCAAAGAGTTCAGCCCCGAACAACGACAAACAGGAAACTTCGGGATAATAGGTAGAAAGCGCCCACTCCAAAACCTTTTCCGTTTTGGGCGCCCGGCCGTTTGCTACTACCGGCCCAATGACTTCCATGTGGGGTACTACAGGCTCACGCTTCGCTCCAAGGGCCCTACGGGGTTCCCGTTGAAAGGTTCAACGGCGTTGAACCGCCGTTACAACGTCGCGCTACAACGGGGCCCGCAAAAAAAAATTTCACTGTCAAAAAATAAAAAAATAATCAAAAACAAAAATGGGGGTGTAGATTTTTTTGCGCTCTACATCCCCATATTTTTATTTTTATTTTTTTAGCATTTAATTTTTTTTTTTTAATAAAAAACCTAACCAGACTCAAAACACATCGATTTTTTTTTTTTTTTTTTTTTTKWTTKWTTGATAGATTGATTGATTGATTGATTGATTGAATGATTGGTGGGGGATGGGTCGCCCCTCCCACCCCCACCCAATCTCACACACACACACTCAAGCTGCTTTTTTCGTTGTTGTTTTTTACTTCTTTTTTTTTTATATCGGTTGATTGATTGATTTATTGATTTTTTTGGGGGGGGGGGGCCCCCCCCCCCCCCCCACCCACCCAATCACACACACACACACACACACACACACACACACAGGGTTCGTCCGATTCCGCTTCCACCAGGGTTGGGCAATCTATCAGCCCTGGTACCTATCACTGCTGTTCGGTCCAAGTTCCCCTCGATAGGGGCAATGGTCCTGAGTGCTGGTCACACTGAGGTAGAATAGCCTGTGGGATATGGGGTGCGCTAGGAGTATCGAGGTGAGGATGGGTTGGGAGGTGGTCTCATATTCCAGGACACCCATGGCTCACAGTTCCAGGTGATCACTGTGCACACACTAACTGACCTCTACAACACCCTGGAGCATGGTCCCACTAGCAACGAGATAGGATAGAAAAGAGTTTGTGAGGCAGTTGAGTGACCCAAATCCTGCTGTGCAGTACGCGTGATCCCACGGCCAGTATTTTTCATGTATTACCCGAAAAAGTAAGGAGATCTTGGTTCCCCTCCTCTCCTTAAACCACCAGTACTTTGCCCATACATGGGCCGCGGGCCTTCCCCGTTAACGTGCTGCTGTTTTCGGTGTTCGGGGAAGGCCCGGCAGTGCAATGGAGTAGGCCGTGCATGGGCCCACAAAAACGGGGCAAATGGACTGTATGATGTCCTGGTGCTGTGCTGTGTGGAAAACGAGGGGGGAAAGAGAAAAGAAAAGGAACTGCAACACGAGAAGAAAAAAAAAACAGATGTTTGCTTTTTTTTCTTTTTTTTTTTCTGGAAGAAAAATGGTTTTTCATGAGTGCCCACCAGCCCTGTAAGCAGTGGTATCTGTTTTGCCCTTTGTTTTTTTTTTGTGGGCTTTCTAGAATGTATCGGGCTGTACTTGTGGGCACAGTGAATGAATCTGAGGGCTTGGTATCTCTTTTGCCCTTTGTTTTTTTTTTGCTTTATTTTCGGGAAGCAATATCTCCGCTGTTTGTGCTTCTGCTCCCCCGGAGACACCGGGAGCATTCAATGCTTGCCAACGGTTCCAAGAACACAGCTTCACTGTGACGTAGCACTTTCCAGAATGAATCTGGCTGCACTTCTTTGCAGCAGAGGATGTATTTGAGGGCATTCACGTTCAGAGCTTGGTACCTCTTCTCCCCTTTGTTTTTTTTTTGGGTTTTTTGGAAGCAGTATCGCGTCTGTTTGTGCTTCTGCTCCCCGGGAGAGACAATGCGTGCCACCTGTTTCAATTCCAGGGCTTCACTGTGACGTAGCACTTTCCAGAAGGTATCTGGCTGCACTTTGCTGCAGCAGCGGATGTATCTGAGGGCAATCACGTTCAGAGCTTGGTACCTTTTTTCCCTTGTTTTTTTTTGTTTTTTTTTTCCTTTTTCACGATTCTCGGCTGTTTGTGCTTCTGCTCCCCGCCATTTTCATGTACATGACGAGTGGAAACAAGAAAACTATAGCCTCTTTTCATTCCAGCTGCTGGCAGCAGGTCCAGAATAAGGGCGGTACCTGTGCCAAGCATCGGCCACATTCCTATCCGACTGCTAATGGGACCATGCTCCTGGACTTTGTGGTTAGAGGTAAAAAAAAAAAAAAGGAAAAAAAAAATAAAATGGGATTCAACGGGGATTCAACGGGATTCAACGGGAATTCAACGTGGATTCAACAGGATTCAATGGGATGAATTTTATTTTTGCTCCATGCGAGGCCCAATTCGCCCTCCCCGTTGAAGGGCCCGTTGTACTATTCAACGGGGATTCAACAGGCCCCTCCGGCACTTTGTTAGGCGGCTAGTGTTGAGTCTCCTCTTCCCGATGCACAGCATGCGCCCCCTGTGAGAGCTTCCCTTCCCCCGGACGTGTTGTACTCTTGCTTTCCAAGTGGACGGACGCACCCTCCGGAGGACGACTTGGACGATCGCTGGCCATGGTCTCCAACACTCCTGCGTCGAGACCGTCCACCACCCTGCGAGGTGGCCAGTGTTGAGTTTCCTCTTCCCTGCGCACATCATGCGCTTCCTGTGGCAGCCCCTCTTTCCCCGGATTTGTTGTGATCTTGCCCCTAAGATCGGAGGACGCACCCTCTGAAGCACTCCAAGCATACTCGCTATCCCCGGTTTCCAGGACTCCTGCAGCGGGCCCTTTCAGCACTGTGGAAGACGACCAGTCTCGAGTCTGGGCATGAGAAAACGGCGGCGAGCAGGGAAACACTGCGTCCAACTCAAGACGTGGGGAACCAAACCTCCCCATTTTTTTGCCCCACAGTACTGTAGCGTGAGACGCACTGGTGGCGGACCTCACGAACAGTGAATGAATTCCGACTTCGCCGCGCTCCTCGTCTTCGGAAACAAAGTCCTCGCAGACAAGTGCGAATGTACTCGCACTTGACAAGACAGGGCGGTCTCCTCTCGCATCTCCGAATACCGACTCTCGTCGAAGTGGCTCTCGGTTCCCCTAGACTCGCGTGCAGTGTACGTTTTGTGCTTTCCTCGTGGCCTTTTCCCTCCTGACCCCTTTTCGGCCGATCCCTTTCCGCTCGACCCCGTTTCTCCCGACCCTTTTCCGTCGGAGCGTTGTCCACCAAATCCCTTTGGTTCAGACTTCGTTTCAACTCCGGGTCCCGGGTTGTCTCCTCCGTCAACGCCACCACCGGGTTCTGAGTCGTCTCCTCTGTCACCTCGTCCAACGCCTCCCAGAGGCTGCGACATGCGCCAATCAATGCCGCGAGAGGGTGTCGTGTCGAGTGCATAGAAAGTCGCTCTAAACTCAAACATTTTGTTCAAGTACAGCTCGTCGAGCTTTTCGGTTGCGTATGATGTGACGTCCTCAGGGCTCCTTTCCGGGTTCATCACTCGCAAATGCTCCACCAGAGCTTCTCTGGCCTTTCTCTTAAACGGACCTGTGTGCCCTGTCTGCTGAGACCGCTCCACGTGCCGTCGGCTTCCTTTGTTGCCATGACCCACTTTCCAGTCCTGACAGCAGGTTGAAATATCCTTGGGTGCCAAACGACGTTGTGGCCCCAGACATCCTCCGCTGTGAATCGGTGGTGTTTTCCGTAGAAGAAGAGTTTGTCGTTCTCCCAGGTGTCATGGTCGCTCGGGAGCTTGTCGCAGGGCTCGTAATCGTAGCCTTTGTCTTCTTCTCCGTCATCAAACGATTGGTCGTCGACTGTGTCGCGTTCAAACACACGCGTTAAACCTCGAGGGGACGCGGTGTATCTCTGTTTGCCGCCTTCACCTTCATCTTCACCATGTGCCACCACCCGAGGAAGCGGCATGGACTCGAAACCGAAGGTTTCGGAGTCGCTCAGCTCCTCCATGTCTTCAGTGTCAAAAGGGTCCTCCTCGTCGAACTGCGCCTTGTAGTTCTCGAGGGTCAGCGGATCACCCATCACGAAGAAAACGTGCTCTAGCCTTTTCAGAAAATTCGAGACAGACTCCCTGGGTGCACCGTGGTAACCATTCAGCACACTGAACACTAGGTTCCTCCGTCGATTGTATTCCAGGTATGTCTGGGCAGGCTGTCTACGTTGGAAAATGAACTCCCAAACCTCCGTCCTTTTGTTCTCCAGCAATTTCAGTTACATATCACGTTTGGGATCCAGTTCCGCTCTCCGGTGTTCTGGACGAAAGAGCAATGGCAGCAAGGGTCCCCCACTCGTGTCTTGACGAGCTCGTGAAGGTAATCAATTATCTTCGCCTCGTCCTCCACCTCAATGACGTTCCGACCACTACGCAGCAGCTCCCACACGACAGATGCATGCGCTTTCCCAAAGAAAAAAACAGTTTGCCTGACTCTGCAAAAGTTTTTGAGCAGGGCGATCAGATGAGCCGGGTTCCCTTCCCGGTCCCCGTAAGCAGCTCCCCGACGCCGCAGTCCTCCCACTGACTACGAAGGAACTTGTCCTCGTCTCCGACGTCGAAACAAGCCACAGCCTGCCCTGACGGGTCAAGAGAACAGGCAGCTTTCGGGAGCGTCGTCGCCGAGGATTTGGAGTTGGCCTCTTTTACATAAAAACGAATCTGGGTCCCATGAAAAGAATCACAACTGTCTATGCACTAGAAGAAGAACATACAAACAACAAACGGCGTATGCAAATCAAACATAAAAAGTCGGTGATGAAAAAAAACTGAAGAAGAAGAAGAAGAAGAAGAAGAACAAAATGAAAAAGAAGAAGAAGAAGAAGAACAACAACAACAACAACAACAAAGTGAAAAAGAAGAAAAGAAAAAAAACAAAGATGGAGAAGAAGAAGAAGAACAACAACAACAACAACAATAGAAAGGAGAAAAGGGAGAAAGAAACGACCACGAACGAACACGCAGCCAAACATGCAAGCACACGCACACGACCACAGTCCCACTAACACAAACACGCAACAAAGCAGAGGATCGACGACGGCCAACACTACTCCAAACGCGCGACCGCATACACACTCAAAACACGCAACCGCATGCACACAGCACAGTACCGGATACTCGCAAGCACACCCACCGGTACTGGGCGCCACTCAAAGATGCATACATACACATACAGTCTCCGCGGAAGTCTAACGCAGCCTCTCATGCAGCCGCGTCGCGAATAAACGAAACGCTTGCCACACCTGGCGATGACGCTGGAGGTGCAGCGTACAGGTTCCTGTGCGACGACGACTTTGTTACATCAATAATGACAAATCGACAAAGACACGAACCACTGCACAGGAAACCTAACCGACCACGCACCACGACGTCAAGTGGAGAGAGAGAGAGAGAGAGAGAGAGAGAGAGAGAGAGAGAGAGAGAGAGAGAGAGAGAGAGAGAGA